CCGTCTATCGCTCAGGCTCTATCTCATGAACCCTCATAGTTAGACAATTGAAATTTTCACAGATGATGTATTTCTGTTGCCGCTGTAACAGCAAAAACTAACCCGCAAGTTCGCTTGCAACCTTCTCACATTAAACAAAAACACACTTGGATCGATTGAATTCGCCGATAGCCCATCTTTACAACATCGATGAAACTTAGTCTAAAAGTAAATAATGTCCAAATTATGTTATTATAGTTGATTTCAAATGTTCCCACAAGCAATCGGAAAGTTTCTCAATTGAATCGGTATACCGATCGAGGTAACCAACATCGACACTTATCTTATGTCCAACAATTTAAAAATTTGATGATTGACGAATCAAAAGCAATAAATCTGTTCGAGTATCAAGTTCGCGGTTAGGGTTCTAATCACTCTCGTAATAATTGCATACTTCGGAAAATGCCTGTTGTGCAATTTTTGTTTCCGTCAAAATCTAAATAAACCAGGTTCAATAAGAATGATTGAAGCTCTAATCTAGTCTCGTTTGTAAAAATAGCCTGTAGCTTGAATCGTGATCGATTTTATCATGTGTATATTAATAAACAAGGTAAATCCGAGCGAATGAGTACTAACGAGCAAATCTATTTATTCAAAAATAAATTACTAGGAACGCCGTCACGGAAATTGCTACGGACAGTTATTATTTTGATTGGAAACGCTATTACGAGAAAATCTCGACTTCTAAATTAATTGGTTTGTAGTGATTTCATTTTTTGAATTACGAACGTGTGGAATAAATATTAACGAACTCTTCCATTCATAAACTAAATACAATTATATAAACATATGATATGGGAATTTAAGTATAAATTACAGCCTAGTAATGGAATGCCAATAAAATTTTTCTTTGTTAGAATTTTTAAGAAAATCTACAAAAACACTAACTCTAAAACTTTGCAGTCAGTACCCGTCGACCAGCTGTCATGTTTGAAGACTTTAATAAGGCCGGTGAAATGAGAATAATTATACCCATAGTTTTTCAATAAATTGATAATAAAAGGAGTTCATTTCTTTTATAAGCACGCATCAGCACCAGAAGGAAATAATGCTCCAGCCAAATAAGTTGTGCATTTGCTTTTTTTAACATTAATAATTAAATGACAGACAGCCTGACCGTGTACATGAACGCTGTAAATGGTTCGAAATGTCGGGAATTAAGACCAAAAATAAACGCGATACATCCTTAAACATACTTTCATTTAGTAATCTGTAATCGCGTAAATACAAGAAATTATTATATTAACACAAGAAATTATTATATTAACATTTTCAGATCTGAAAATTTTAACTGTAACGAACATATTTATTTTAAAAAAATGTATTTACAAGTAACCTTTTACAACAAAAATAAAAAGAAAAATACGTTAAATACAACATTTATTAGAATTAGAAACATGTTTTAAAATTAGAAACAGTTTTAGGCATTAGAATTTAATTATTTTTCAACGGATAATTGATTATTATAAAACACAAAAACACGGTCATCATTTTATGGTGAATTTTATTTTAAAGAAATACGTAGGTTCTTTCATTAAAAATTAAAACCAGCACAAATCGGAATAACTATCTGAAAATTCATAAAAAGCGACTTGTTTACTTGTAACAGGTAATATAAAAACAGGTGTAATATAAATCAATCTAAGAAGCAATACCCGCTGACAACGCAAGAAAGTTACAAAGTCACGTCCGAATCCACAAAAACGGCTGTTATTACAAAATACAATGATGTTGACAAACGCGAAACAACAAAGTTGATTGGCCCGTGTAGAAAACACGTAGACGCAGTACCACGTCGTAGCACGTTGTAGCGCCGTAGCACCCTGTTAAACTTAATGAAAACGAAATGTATTTTCTTTAAGCACATTAAAACTTTAACGTTGAAAGATTTATAATTTAAACATGTTCAGCTAAAATAACGCTCGCACTTTGAATGATGTCACCGCGTAATTAATCATTTGACAATGCAACCTGTGAAATATTCAAAGCCCTCGAGTGTTGAGACGAATTAAATTGTCAAGGTGCCCCTGGAACTGTTTATCCGAAACGAAATGATCGCGATTCGGGGAGATAAATTAAGCACTTTGTCGGAGGCTTATAAATAAAACAAACAAGTAAACGAAGCGGAGGCAAAGATGATTAATCGATTCGTTTGTATCATTTCTGTGGTAGCAGTGCCCAGGCGGTTGCTTTTAACTCAGCGTAAATAATCGTTGATTGAAATTTTAAGCGCCGATTTAATGTTTGCTCGATTCGCAAAGTGCTGTCTGCCAATCCGCAGTGCGATTTCGAGTTGAATGGTGCCTGAATATTCTAAGTACGAGAGGGATTTTTCCCAGCAGACGATTACTTTTTTATTACCAAATAGAATATAATTTTAAAATGTTTTATGATTGTTTATTTTATTTATGGAATATAATGCTGCAGGAATGGGCAGGTCCTCCATCCGGGTAAGTACCACGACATCACAGAAGACCGGCGTGAGTGAGGTAGCCGGGGCCCACTTTATTATGAGACGGTAACGAATCTGCAACCCAACGAATGTTGCAAATGTCCGTGGGCGGCGATTGTCACTTACCAAAACCTTCGCGCATAAAAAATGAGCCAAAATAAATGCTACAACGGACTTCTGAAGGTGTCATGATAGTTTAGTCTACATAGGTTTAATATATTAACAACTTATCTTAAAAAAATAATGAAAGAAATATTGTTAAGTGAGATATACTACAATTACTTTCAGCATAAAATTATAAAAGTCTGGTTAAACCGATACTTTGTAAAATTTCACGAATATATTTTATTTTGCGCTTTTACTTAACAATTCCACTTTTAACCTGACCCGTTTCATCCTGTCATTTCCTATTTCTATTCATTTACTTTTAAAATGGATCCTGTTTCACTCTGGGGATATGAAACAAGAACAATATCGCCCCTTTGCCAAAATGAAACAAGTTACAAAATTAGTGTTCCGTGTCTAAAATTAATAAAGTATGTTTTAACATTATCCTATTTTCAAGTTTTGCTACAGTATGCGTGATTATAGCCGACTGCCAATAGAGCTGTCATATTATTCAGTTATCGTCTTATTTTGTTTAGTGTATTGACATCGTTTATTTGTTAAAATCATGTGTATCCATTAAAAAAGGCGTAGTTACTGAGCTTTGGCTGCGGCGCCCGGGGTCTTGGGTTTGATTCCCACGCGGGACAAGTGTTTCTGTGACCCACAGATAATTGTTTCAGTTCTGGGTGTTTGTTCCCAAGGAGGGTTGACGTCAAGCAGGCCAGTCTTAAAATACCTAGCCAAAACCACTTACAACAGGATTCACATTGTTGTGCCGACTCCACTTAATTGGTTGTACAATACAAAAATTAGACGTCACCGTACTCGTAACCTCTAATCTCGTAGACTTTAAATTTAAAATTGGTACCGCTAATCCTAACATTTTCTTGAGAAAAAGTTCGGTGTTTCTAGTTATTGCACGAACCTTTTAATACATAAACAAGTTTAACGAACTTTCTCGAAATTTGCGTGACTTTTTATTTATATTAATGTTTTGTGTGAATTGCAAGATTTCTTGTTTTTAAAGTTTTGTCGTAATTTATTATCACCTATGTTTTCAAGTAAATACTGTGTGTACCGCGGGGGATTTTTTTTTAAAGAAATCAGATATCAAACGATAATTCATATGATGACAGTTGATAATTCAATGTGTTAAAATCGGCTGCTTTTCGCCATCAGTTAATTAAGAATATAAGTTATCTTAACTTTATGTTACTGCTTGCTATTTTTAATGGAGAGTAAGCGGTAGCTAACCTGATTACTGCTAACTATAGACATTGTTAAATGTGTGGTTACCTTATGAGACGTAAGGTCCATACCGTATAAAATTTGCCGCTTTATATGATATGAATCTTACGTTTCACGGTAAAGCCAAGACGTTAGGTCACATCCGGTGGAACGAAAGAATGCGAATAGTTTTATTTAAATTGGATCCTCTTAGACGCTCTGGTATTTCAGAAAAGGCTGAACGTTATGCAGCATTATTTGAGAGCACTGCATACTGTACTGTAAGCTGTGGCAGGGCCGTCGAATGACAGGCTCCACTGACTAAATATCAAAGCCTTTTAAAAGACCAGCGTAAAGTATTACACTTTCTTGTTCTTCGGGTGAGGGAGCCCATTTCTTTAAAGGATGTCAACGCATCTGAAAACCTTCAAGCACTGTAGATGGCCATGGACGACGGTAATCACTTAACATCAGGTTAACCTACATAATAAGGTTAAAAAAGGTCACAGGGTGACACAATGATGTTTTAACAAAGATGACGCAGGTCCATACTGCGCGGCGCTTAAAAATTGTTCCGCTTTACACTATATGACATATGTATCTTATATTAATGTGACAGTTATAGAAGGTATGATACGGAAAGAGATAGCTATCTATAGAATCGCAATTTAATTACACCAATGGGAGTAGTTTGAGTGCCTCAATTTCGGTGCGCTAATGTCATGTCTGCCCGTATTTGTATATAATATCATTGGGGTGACATTCTAGACGTAAAAGCTATTTCGATTCTACGCCATCGTAGAGAAATATGTAAAATACATTTGTGATCTATTAGTATTTATAACTGTGGTAGGGCCACGCAACAATGAATGGGCAGGTCCGTCCGGGTTAGTACCACGACCTCACAGAAGGCCGACGTGAAGTAGAAGTGTCACACTTCTACGTTTCGTCGGGTGATTGAGGTAGACGGGGCCCACTTTATTTAAAGGCGGCAACGCATTTGCAACCATACGGATGCTGCAAATATCCGCGGGCGGCGTTTATCACTTAACATCAGATGAACCGCCAGCTCTTTTGCCACTTTGTCACAAAACGTTACACAATGTAACGTATACCTAAATAAGGATATTAAAAGAAAGTTCGCGTTAAATTTTTACTTTCTCTTATTCCAGAGATGTCTACGTGCCGTGTGGCGGCGTTCTTCGCTGCCTTGGCAGCTGTGTCCTGCGCCTTACCCGGCGCCGTTCTGTCCCTGGACCTGAACAGGCTCTACGGACATCATACTAAGCGTTCCGGTGAGAGTACAACATTATAAACACATCACACCCACATTATAAACATGAAAATGTCCTTAAGCGTCTTTGACACTACGCACTAGAAATCATTTCGACGAAATTTAAACTTGGGAACAGCTTGAACAAGCTGTCTCTCACATACCCCATTAATATCCTTTAAACTTTTTTAGTTTAAAAAGGTCACATATCTAAAACCGTGGACAAAAGACAAAACACATATAAAATTACTCTTAAGGTTATATCTGTACATCAGAGGCATATAACAGTTACCCCACATTTTCAAAATTCGTTTCCTTACACCATTAAGAAAACAGACACACAATAGTATAAAGCATTAAGTACTACGACGCCTAATTAATATAAAATCCAATCGTATACGACATCATAATCAATAACAATTCAATGATTCACTTCACGTATATTTGCTTCTACTGTATAATTTGCGTTTTGTCGCATGTTGTTCATGATATTTACCTCTGAGGTACAGGTATTATACTTTAGTGAATATAAACCAAAATACTCGTAGGCAAGCGAACTTAACTTCACGTATTCAGATTATTATTCCTCGAAACAAGGTCATAAAGGTGCTGAACCAGACTCTTGCCGTACTGACGACGCAGTTTGTTCACTAGGGTCTTACGACTACCGCTAGAGGTCGCTTAAGTCGCCTAAAGAACAAAAGACTGCTAAGTAGGTCGCCTTTCAGTAATCACTAGGGGCTTTCGCGCGCGGAGTGGTAAATCTGCGACGCACTCTTTCGTTACTGACGAACAGAGGCTTATTACATCATAATAGATAGCTACGTAGGAAACTTTGCAGAGTTTAAATAAGTACTATGTAAGAAATTTTCTTTCTACAGTTCTAAAAAGCACCCTAATTTCAATAAATATAATGGCGTTTATCATCGGGTTGGTATCCTATGATATTAAAAAATATGTCCAATTACACCAATACTGCTAGAACTCAAGACACCACAAGCCTTGCGAAATAAAATAAATAATAAAATAATTAACCGTTAATTCATCACTTACTCTCAATAAATAACATAATCTGTCCGGTAACCATGAACGTTGTAAAATGTTCGAAACATTACAGTTTAAAGTTTGGTTGTTTGGAGTGTCTGTTTGTAATATTAAAATAACCGCTTTTACTAAATACATATGGATGTATTTAGTAAAAGCGTAGTCTAGTTTACATATAGAATTACATATAGAAAATAACATTATTTACAATTTTTGTCTGTCTGTTTGTTCCGACTAATCTCTGAAACGCCTGGACCTTCACTGGTCCACTGGCCGATGTTTCACTAGCCGATATCTGATGTAATAAGGAGTAACTTAGGTTACTTTTATCTTAGGAATGTTATTTATTTTAAATTCGAAGCAGGCATAGCAAATTGGTAGATAAAATTACTTTGTAATTAAATGACGATTTTGTTTTACGACTACAAGGAAATTCTCACATCTTTTCATACAAGAGATTTATGTAATAAATAAAAGATATTCAAGGTAAACAGATGTGTTGAACCTATCGCTATACCCACAACAATTTAAATCAATTTTGTAGGTTGCGAGCAATGCAACAAACATAAATTGATCACGGGAAAGGTCCCGAAAGATCCACCAGCCATCTATGATTACATAATCAAACGGATAACTTTGTTACTAAGTGCCAGTTATATTCGCCCTTGGTCACCGAAGTGTAGCACTGTATCGATTATCGTTTTATACTGATTTCATTGCTGTCTTTATATACTAGAATATGTCATAACTTAAAATAGTTATTATACAACCTCGAGGAATTTTAGTAGCATTTTAGGACTTTCATCGTAAATAAATAAAACATCTAAAAGTAATATTTGACCGTGGTACGGTCACCCAGCACTTTCTACTGCTACAAGAATGGGCAGGCTCGTCCTAGGTAGTACCACGACTTCACAGAAGACCGGCGTGAAGTGAAAGCATCATACTTTAGCGTTTCATCTCGTAACCGAGGTTAAAGGCCCGACAAGGCCGCTTAACAAAAGGCTGCCAACGCAAACAAACAAACCCTCAGGCATTGCAGATGTCCATGGACGACGGTATTCAGTTAGCGTCTGGTGAACAGCCTGCACGCTGGACAACTATCACATAAAAGAACCGGCCAAGTGCGAGTCAAACCCACGCACGATGGGTTCCGTACCATTTATATATACAAACGGCGAAAATAATCATGTTTGTTTATATGGTATTTTGTTTTTATGGGATTGATTCATCATCATCATCATCATCATTTCAGCCTGTTTGAGTCCACTGCTGAACATAGGCCTCCCCCATAGACTGCCACGAAGTACGATCCTGAGCCACCTGCATGCATCGACTTCCCGCACATTTGCGGGATTGATTGACCATGGTTAATGGGAGCCCCACTTGATTTGGTGATTTGGTGTTATAGCTGGAACAGAAATACATCATCTGTATTAATTTCAACTGTCTAACTATCACGGTTCATGAGATACAGCCTGGTGACCGCCGGACAGACAGACAGGGGTGTCCGTTTTACACTTTGCATACGGAACCCTTATAAAGAAAAGAAAACTACGAACTAACAAAAATTAAACGTGTTCGGAACATTCCACGGATAAAAGACTTAAGGGTTCGTATTCATTGTACGTGATTAGTGTCGGTTAACCCTCTTACCTTCAATCATGTTTCCCTTTTGTCCCATGTTACGTACAAATTGGGTTTGAAAGGAAATCATTAAGCCTATGTGTGTGCTCTTCGAAGTGCCGTGAAGTTCTCGGTCACATTAATTATTACTAACTATGCCTATTACTAAATTGCCAACATACTATATTCGAAAACCATATTTCTACACATACCTATACTCTTTATTAGGACAGTAATAATGTTCTAGAAATATAATTTTCTTGATTACATGATTTCTATTTATTATTGTTTAACAATTTACATACCTTGTATACCGTCTTTAGTTTTCGTATTCAAATCGTGCTGCTGGCGAAAATATTGAGACTCAGTCACCTGTCTATACAATCAATTTAGTTATACAATCCAAACCCTACATTTACTTTAAAATGAGCTATTAGTTAAACTACGTCTGGAATTAATGAAATCTTTCCGACGATTTCAGATTTTTAGGTTTTTAATATATTATTACGCATATTGCCACAAAGTTACTGTAACTTTACCACAATATTTTATCAGGAAAAAGCGTAAAAAAAAATTAACCTTTTCGTGTCCTTAAATACGAGTGGGCGTAACAGATGGGTATAAAAAATGTAACACCACCTACATAGAAGGTTATAATCCGGGTAAATCTGTATTAACTTAAATGAAATGACCCGTAGTAATTGTGAATTTAGGTTCACCGAAACGAATTAAAGCAGATTACCCCAATTGTGGTTTTACATGCGTTGTTAGCGCCGAGTTTTATTTCTCTCACATTTCGCCGTCGGTCGCATATCTTTATATATAGATGTTTATGGATAAAGCAAACAAAGGTGCTTGTTTAATACACGCTCATGTTCGACGATATCTCTAAATAAACAACTTTAATTTGTTTTTCGGCATTAGGATGTGAAATAATTCAGAAATTATAGAAATAATACGGTCAGCTCAAACATTAGTTATTAATATCTCCGACCAGGGGAGTTTGGTTACACTAACAATTTGTGGACGGGCATTTGAAAATTATACACTGTTTCTCTACAAAACTTCGTTCTTGATAATAGACATAAATCATTTGACTTTATATTATATATATATCTTATAAGTTGGGTCAGAGACCGACCGACCACGTGCCTGATGTCCACCCTACTTGGGAAATTATAGTTGATTGATATAATTTAATAATAGTAGCCATATTTCGCAGCTGACAGGACTACATTAGTATTAGTAATTTCCAAGAGAAAGACTTTAAAATAGTGACTATCGTCTCTCTGGACAACAATTGAACAGCAACAAAGGCTTATTACATAGAAACAATTAGAGCAGAAAAAGAATTAACTTGAAAAATGAAAGTAAATCACAAACAAAACCACTGCCGTAAATGACTCCGTGGCGCAGTGTCCATGGTATTCGGCGTGGGGGGTCGTCGGTTTGATTCCCACACGGTACAACTATACTACTACTAGTCGTCGGGCATCTGGGTGTTTGTCTGTTTGTAAATTTATGTTACAGGATAATGTTATTCAAAAGTAAGGACACAAAGAAAAACAAAAGACAAAAACAACATTTAGAAGTTGGTCCGAAGCTCATAAATTGATATTGAAAACTCATTTATTGTCATGAAAACGAAATAGAAGAATTTTAATCCGGAACTTAAAGATACCATGGAATTTTCCTATACTACGCGAATAAATAATTAGCGTAAGTATAATGTCACTAATCAGGATAGAATTAATTGCGTCACGGATTATTTTCCACTTGGAATGGACGAGGAAGGAAAAGTGTAGCCCTAAAAGAAAAAAATGGCCGCGTTTGTAAAGACGAATTCACACATAAATATCTTTGCTAACAAGGCGATGCTAAGATATGTTTTTTCAAAGATTACATTTTGATGTATATATTTTACCTTGTAGATGTAAAACTACTTTAGGTATTTGTTATGTTTAATAACGTAAGTCAGTTATTCACGGGTGTTCATTCTTGTAACCTGTAAAGTATTCTAAACTAACGGCAATAAAAACTTGTTAAATAAATGTAAATTTGAAATGAAAAGCTGTTCTCGCTAATTTTGTTAATATTCACAATAATTATTACCGTTACGCTTTTAGCGGTCAAGACCTTTTTAGTTTTGCGGAAAATAAAACATGAAAAATTCCAATTGCCATATTTTTTCTTTGTGTAACACAGCCCCGGTGGCAATATTTTCCTTTAAGATTCCAAGTTACGGTATAATTGGTACATTCATTACGTCCACCGGAGCGGAAAGCCTTTTCTCGAGTGTTAATTTATTTTATCATCTTTGGAGTGAAGTTCTAGATGTCCTTTTGATAAGATCTCTCATTAACATATTATTTATTTCGGTTAGTCGGTGATTGCGGAAAATAACTTTATTGTTTCATAACTTATTCACGATGGAACAATATAACAACAATGTTCATAAAGCTCTCATTTCACTTTTATTTTTCTATTTTGTATATATAATGAGACTTGGGCCGGTTTTTTATCTTTATCTATCCCATCCGAATTAAAACATTAATAATATAAAGAACATTGAATTTATAAAATGTAAAAAAAAGTAAAGTAAAGTAACAGCGCCTATACATGTCCCACTGCTGGGCAAAGGCCTCCTCTTTACAGAGGGTATCAGGGCATAGTCCACCACGCGGCCCCACTGCGGATTGGTGGACTTCACATATCTTCGAAATATTTTTTGTTATTATTTCGAAAATATGCAGGTTTCCTCACGATGTTTTCCTTCACCGCGGAGCACGTGATAAGTCAGCACTTAAAGTTAAAAACTTCATTGGTGCCGGCACCGGGGATCGAACTCAGGTTGCTCGAGTATATTGAATAAAAGGCGAGCGCCCGGACACTGAGCTATCACGGCTCTTATAAAATCTAATTGAGTGAAAATCTTTTTGTGAGAAAATGGTAGCAAACGAACTGGTGGCATGATGTAAGGGACAACCACCGCCCATAGACATTTGCAACACGCGTGCATTACCTTGCAATACTTTCACTTCGCGCCGTTCTTCGTTACGGCCGAATTACTTCCCCGGCAGCCTTGGCCTTGCCATGCCAGCCGATTGTTACCACCAGCTGGTGGTTCGCCTGATTTTAAGTGCTAAGCAGTGCCGAATGACATTTGCAACATCCGTTGCAGATACGTTACCACGTTATAATAACATGGGCCCCGGCTACCTCACTCACCAGACGAAACGCACAAGTATAACACTTCCACTTCACGATGGTCCTCAATGAGGTCGTGGTATTTACCCGGACGGACCTTGTCATTCGTTCAACAACATAAAACTGTAAGCTGGCCCTCATTATCATCATTTCAGCCTGTTTGAGTCCACTACTGAACATAGGCCTCCCCATAGACTGCCACGAAGTACGATCCTGAGCCACCTGCATCCATCGACTTGGACCTACCATTTAAAATTGCTGTGCAAAACACAGTTTTTTCCATTCTAAACAATTGGACCATTCATCTAACATGATGGTTACCAAGAGCACAGTAATTATCGCCACTCACTCTCTTCTCTTCCACAGAGTACTGTCACCCGTACGAGCCGTTCAAGTGTCCTGTGGACGGCAACTGCATCTCCATCCAGTACCTCTGCGATGGAGCGCCGGACTGCATCGACGGCTATGACGAAGACTCCAAGCTGTGCACAGCAGGTGAGTTCGGCGTCTATTTTGCTTGTAGGGGAGACTTTGGCTAGTTAATCAGTCACAGGTGAACTAAACAAACAACAAGCCGAAAGTCTTAACGTGGTGTCATAATCACGTACTTTTATGAAACAATATCTTCTGATACTCTCTATCAAAGTAAGTTTGTAATCTATGTACTTAATGTAAACCGACTTTGGCCACTCACAATATATAACCTTAAATAAAATTTATATGATAGCGCATGATGCATTAACTTTTGAAAAGACCTTATTTTATCACCTAAAATCAGGGGAATATAAATGCCAGTTCGTTGGCCACCTTCTCACCTAAAAAGAATTAAAAAAGAATATTTTTGTATAAATACAATCAATGATACTAAATCGAATTCAGTTTGGTATTTTGATTTAATTATTACTACATTGCTTAACGACATATTTCTTATACAAAGTCTGGTCCCGCTACTCAGTACTTCTTTGTATTTTATATCATACTAATGAAGTTTAAAAATTAAAAGCTCTTCTTCTAGTTCATTATCCTAACGTACGCTTTTAATTGAATATACACGAGCCACCTGAGCTCAATCCCCGGTGCCGGCACCAATGAAATTGTTAATTACAATTTTAAGTGCTGTCTTATTACGTGCTCGGTGATAACAAACATCTCGGTGATAGGAAACCATATTTTACAATTTAATATGAAACGTTTGCACACTTATCGTTACGTGTTTCTAGCATGCTAGTTGATTAGAGCATATTAAAATTGAATATCCATTAACAGCTGTCCGCGTCACAAAAGCACGTGTAACCACCCATTATTGACTCATCACGTTATCTCTGGACCCATAAGGCGTAGAGACTTGAAATTTGGTAGGAATATTCCTTTCGAGGTCAGGAAAGGATTTTACAAAATTGCATAAAAACAACGTTTGTCGGATCAGCTAGTAAAATATAATTTCTTGACGGATTCAAAGGATAAATAAACTTTGAGGATATATCATGAAGTCTACTTAACCGCAAGTAGCTTTAGGCCCTAGCCCTGAAGAGTAAGGGTTGTTGTATTTAGTTCGTGATTATAAATAAGCATTCCCCAGCGTAGTACACGACGGTAAATCACAAGTCGCAAGATATAACTTTCCACCTTTAGCCACCACACACCCCTTGTATCATCTTTTAATCCTCAAAGTTCGGAAAGGGATACCCGAGGGAACTTAGAGCTGGAAAGTTCCATTTTATATAAATACATTTAATTTATTGTGCATTGATCTAAAAAAAATATTATAGGTAATATAAAAAATTACGTGTTCATCTCTTCCTTTCATGGGAGTATTTGTTGTAATTTTATGTTCACAGAAATTTCAAAATTGTAACCACAAATGGAATACAAGTTTACAATTTATTCGACGGCCCGAATGACGTAGTGGGTAGTGTACCTGCCTCCTGCGCCAGAGGGTTTGGGTGCGATCCCCACTACTGGAAAAATATTGTGTGATGAACATAGTGTTTTTCTAGTGTCTGGGTGTTTTCATATGTATAATATGTATTTATTTACAAAAGAAAAGTATGTATAAGTGTTTATCAGTTATCTACTACAAGCTATAGTACAAGCGTTGCTTAGTTTGGGACTAGAAAACGTGTAAAAATGTGTCCAAAAACAACCATTAATAAACAATCACACTACCCAGGACAAGGAGACGGCACTTTCAACGCAAACAAGTAATACATTAATATGGATTAAAATTGCTCGGCTAACCTTTGCGAGTTGTCGACGTGTAAACGTTTATACCATGTTTGACCTTTCGCCCATGGGATCGATATAAGCTATATATAGTTTTTAGGTAAGGTCTGTATTGAAAATACATGGCAAAAATTTGAAGCATTTTTTTCGACACTTCTATTATTTCTTAAGCAAAATATATAAACGTATTTATTATAATCTTTAATACAGAGCACAAATCCCCGTTTTTGTTCGTAAACAGCCTCATTAGATAAACGTGAAACCTTAAGGAATATTTTAAAAGCAAGCATAATTGCTTGGTACTTCTTACTAATTATTTCTCTGTTAAAGATAAGTCGTAACAAAATAAAGTCTATATTTATATTTGAAGATTAACTGAAAGCTTGCTTTTATTATGTGCGTTTTATAATTCATTGTTTCCAAAAACAATTGGAACATGCTATCATATCAAACTCTCATCTTTACTAGGCAAACATATTTCATGTCTCTTAATCACAATCGCAAGTACATCAAGCAAAATTTCCATTTCATGAACAACCAAGACATTAGAAGTTCAGCAAACAATATACTTGCTGCCTCACTGAACTTTCTGCGCTGTTGTTCTTGGCGGTTTACGTTTCCCAAGGCATTACTAACTTTGTTACAGCGCTGATGCATCGTTCCATGTGGTACGAGTACGAGGCGCTTTCGTCTCCAATGCTTTGTTTGGATCGCTAACAATTTTCGCTTTTATAATTATAAAAAAAATTGTGCGAGATTTATATTTCTATTATAGCTGATATTTACAATAAATAAAGAGATTTTTAATAAACTTGAATTTGCAATAATGATGAGATTATTAGTTACAAGTGTAACGGTGGGCATTTATTTATTAAATTTAAACTTTCCAAGCTTTCTACATCTAAACTTCTTCATCGTCTCATATACCACCGGAAGTGGACTGTTTAGTTTTTATCAACTCTTTTCAAATAATCGGTAAGATGATTGGAATAGTCAACAGGTATGTGACTTAAAACTCTCATAAAACAAAATTTAGTTTCATGGTGCCATTTTAAAAGCAGCAAGTTTTATATACCGTACCGACACATATTATGGCATACAAATTGGTAATATGAGACAGGAAATGATAAAATATTTTTTTTTTTTCACTGAATTTATCGCTACGAATACTGCATTCTATACAAATGTAGCACCGAGGGGAAAACGTGCCTATTTTCATTGTCAATCACACGTTTAATCGAGCTGTCGGAAAATGTCATCTTGTTTTCCGCCCCAATTTTCTTCTTTGCCCGGAAGTGGGAAAAATGTTTTCGTCCCTAATAATGGTAACATTATTTTCATAAAAAATATGATAGTTAAAAAGAATATTATAATTATTATTATTATTAACTTTAAAAAATCTTCATCAACTTTTAGAAGAATATTATATAAGAAAATAATAACAAATTCTATAATGGCCATTCTCTTCGCTCTACGAATATTTTTAATCTAATTTTACCGGGCATAAAAGCTGAGATTAAACATTTTTAAAGGCTTTTAACGTCGCGACGCGACTCGTGTCAGAGGAATGTCATATTTAATGTTGCAATTTTTTATGCTGTCAAATATTTTTTTTTATTTTTTAAAGTTTTAAACGCGTCATCATCCACTGTTTTTTTAAGACAACCGTTTTGACGTAGAAAATACCCACTATGATTTATATTCATTTATACGAAATATGGCGATGAATAGTACGGATTATAGCACTGGGTTCTGTCGCGTCTTACACATCTGTACACCACACACATTTCAAGGCATTTTGTTATTAGAGCTCTATCCGTTACTTGTGTTCGTGGATTCGATTCCCACACGGGTCAAGTATTTGTGCGACCCATAGATAGTGTGAAGTTTCCGGCTCTCGAACCCTACAAAGTTGAGCTCAAGGGGGGAGAAAAAAGAAGAGTAAGGGTGATCTATTAAATGGTCACTTATCATTTATTTATTAACATTAACATATTTCAGTTCAACTTACGACATATTTTAAAGAATTAAACATTTTTAATATTTTTGAAATTATTAATTACATAAAAATCGATTTGACGATGGTACATAGACCCGTCACTAGCTTTATTAATCTGTCGGAAGTAATCCAACCGTTTTCGCGCTCTATTACACTCCTATATCCGGCTATCCTAATGTTCCCTTATATAACGATGAGCTAGAATATAACCTTAAATATTGAGTAGTTATTTATTTCACAGTAATCCAGAACATATAATATAAACGCAAAAATTTTTATTCATCAATTTTAAATAGATGGTAATTATAAAAGCACTCAATAAATTTTCTGCATTTTGTGATAGCAAAATAATGTATTTTTATATTGAAATTAAAAAAAGACATAAATTGAGCCTAAAATTCTAAGTTCGTAATAGAAAATGGTAAAAATGATTACATGCTAGATTAAAAATAACTATTGCCCTACTTCTAAGAAAGAAGATACACGAAAAAATATTTTTTATTACATCTATACTACACAACCAACCTTCAAGAGTGCTTTGAAGACGGGTTCCCAAAAAAATCCGATAAGCAATTTCACTTTGCGCGGCTCCTCTGTTATTTTATCTCATTCTACCATTAACAGAGCAATATTGCGGTATATCGTACCAACTAAAACACCGTTAAAAGCTCTCGCGCTTTCCAGTGTTATTTTTTACAGTCTATCATGTATAAATTTTGCGAAATGGGCCCATACGAAACTTTATTGAACTAACATCCATGAAACATCGTCGTCATCTATTTCTGTTGTTTAGGTACAGTATACAACAAGTTAATATAAACGTGGTAACTAATAAGTATTATGTTTATGAAATACTTTTCGTATGTTTTGCGGCTGATGAATTTAATTTTTTTTGAAGCGCATCTATTTTAAACACTTAACATAACTTTGCTGTGTGAAAATTTGGCAAGCGAGCAGGCGGTTCACGTGATGTTAAATGATTGCCACTGGTGGACTAGCTACAACACCTGAAGGCTTACAGATGCGTTGCCAACAATTAAAAAATTCACTCACCAGGCGAAACGCTAAATTGCAACACTTCCAATTCACACCCGTCTCCTGTAAGGCCGTGGTACTTCTCCGGGCGAGCTTGTCCATTAGTACTACAGCAGAAAATGCAGTTGCGCGAATAACAAAGCGTGACTACTGCTCACTGTTAAATCAGTGTCTGCAGTGTTCGGAACGTCGAGAATTAGAACCAAAGTCAAGCGCGCAACATAGTTTCGTTCTCTTCAAATCATTTACAAATTATTATTAACATTATTTTCAGCAAAGAGACCCCCGGTCGAGGAGACCGCTTCGTTCCTTCAATCGCTGCTGGCCTCCCATGGCCCCAACTACCTGGAGAAATTGTTCGGAAGCAAGGCGCGAGATGCTTTAGAACCTCTAGGCGGAGTAGAGAAGGTTGCTATTGCCTTATCCGGTGAGTATTCTAATCCACAGGTATATTTTTATTTTTATGTGTAAATGAATTCAATGGGCTCCGATTACCTCGCTCAACAAACGAGGACTAAACTTATCTTCAAGTCAAGTGTGAATAGGATTTCACTGAGTTAGTGCTTCTACCATTTAAGATTACATCTTACTTACCATTGGTTGACATAGTAGTAAAGCACCGGCCAGTTTTTGGGGTAAGAAGAGAAAAAATCTTTTCAATATTGCGGGCCCCGGTTACTTCACTCATCAGGCGAAAAGCATGAAGTATAACCCGATCCGCAGAAGTATAACACTTCCACTTCACACCGGTCTTCTGTGAAGTCTTGGTACTTCCCCGGATGGACCATCCCGTTCGTGCAACAGAGAAGACCGCGTAGCCCTACAACGGAAAACCAAAATTTATACTACATTTTGGCAAACATTCGAGCTTTCCAGTAAGTAGCAACGTATCCTGATATGGCTATCAACTATCGTATGATTGACGTTAGGATCTAATTGATCATTAGCCGAATGTTAACATAAATTAAAAAAGATTTCGTACACCAGTAGTTAATTACTACCAGATAAATAATCAGTAATGGTAGAATCGTCACACGAATTGTCCATTTCCAGAATCGCAAACCATCGAAGACTTCGGCGCGGCCTTGCACCTGATGCGATCGGACCTGGAGCACCTGCGCTCCGTCTTCATGGCCGTGGAGAACGGCGACCTGGGGATGCTGAAATCCCTCGGCATCAAGGACTCCGAGCTGGGCGATGTCAAGTTTTTCCTGGAGAAGCTGGTGAACACCGGCTTCCTGGACTGAATAGCGCCGGAGTCTGCCTCTGATTACTACCACGTCGTCCAATATGCCCCAATAAGCGCGTCCTTCTACAGCTACCTGCCCTACGATTCCTTCAAATTCAAGAGAAACTAAAACTCTAAGAGTACTATCTCTTTAGAACCTTCTGCAGGAGAAAAATTACAATCTCCTCTTCCCTCTTCGACCCCCGCGCGATTGATGTGTGACTGGTGTTTTTCGAAATCGAGAGGTTTTTGTTCACCGTCGAAGTCGATTTCTACAACCGGCCACGTAGACTCGATTTTACGGTAGCAACCATCTCTCGTGTTTAATAATAAATAAATATCCTTGAATGATTCTCGCAAAGCAGTCAACATTTATCTTGTGGTAGACGGTCACGTACTAATTTTCGATTTATCGTAAATTAGGTATATTTTTATAATGCTTCATAATATAAACAGTATTAAATAAAAGTTATGTCAGGGATAAATTCTCGCGTCTGTAATTTGTGAAGTGCTACCGATGAATTCAGTGTCATTATTTGAAAAAGGAATAGTGTAACTTCGAATAAAAGTCAATCTTGCACCAATACCAATACCTCGTAAATATCCATACACTATCCTGGGAAATTTGGATACATAATACAACAAAAATATTTTAACCAATCTGTATGTATTCAAGATAGCACTTCCGAAACCCGGACAAAACTTTTATTACCTTAAGTGTGTTTGTAATTGAATGCCGCGCCCTAGGGTTAACTATTTTACTCTATTTGCTCCCCCTCCCCCCCTAAAAATATCAGAGGCGACTCCACGGAAACGGCGTCAGTTCTGAGCGAGATATAAAGCTGAAATGGAAATTGTCCCTAGTTAGGATTTTAAGGTTAAGAAACAAGTATAAAGAACGCATGCGCTTTATATCTGGCTTTTGAAAAAATCCAGTGTACGACCACGGATACATATCATTAAAATATTAAGATGAAATATATTATCGTAGGTTACCAGTAGTTGGATAAAGTACAATTATTTTAATATGATCGATATTGTAGCGTTTACGGAACTTTTTAGACCCTTTTAGCGAAATATTAGAACGACATATCATATCATTTAAAGCATACTAAAAGGTGCTTGACTACCCAAAACATATCAAAATTATGTGATTAAAATTTAGATTGTGTGTTTAATATATTATGAAAATTATAATAGTATTTTTATTGTAGTGCTGATATTTCAGATTCTTAATCTAACATTTCGAAATCTATCATATTATCTATCTATAGAGTTTTAACTTAATATTAGATATGATTGGTGTTGTATAAGTCATGTTAACTTTTGTCAAATGCGGGCTATAGACACAACGAATTATCGAATAATATTGAATCATCGTCATTTAAAGGTATCACAAGTTCATGATAGTAGAGAACGAGAAAATGAACGATAAATATGGGCATATGTCATTTAGTAAGAAGTAATAGCTTACCAGCGTTTGGCATTGAAGACCATATTGGTACTGCTGCACTATCTGAAAGTGACGCGAGCCTGTGTTTGCCAGAAGTAACAACTATGAATTTTGATCGCCAAATCTAACACCCAAGTTTATTCTAAGTATACACCTTATTATAATGAAATTTAACGTTCTAGCCACATCCGTAGTTAACGTACGTAGTATTTTAAACATTTATTACAAGTAGTGTTATAATTAAGGGTATCCTTGGAACGTATGAAAACATTTGTCTTGCGTCAGATCTTTAAAATAAATATCTATTATGAATCTATATGTCTACGATAGGCGATTTTTGACCTCTATTAGTTAAATGTGTTTTAACTAAATGTATAGCTTATCTGTTCTTGAATAACAAATAAATCAATGAATCATCTTGAAATCGAGTTTTATTTTGAAAATCGTTATTAATGAAGAATATAAGTTTATTCTTTGTATTGTAAAAACAGATTTATATATTTACAAAGCAGCAATAGCAGAGAAAATAGCAGTGAGTTTTGATTTTATCAAACCCAAGTCTAAAGAGATTAATATCTGTTTCTCGTTTAAATTAACTTACTTCCGAAGAGTATTAGATCATAGTATCAAGATTATCCAACGAAGTCCCAGAAAGATTAAATATCATTGTACATTGCATTTTGGAAAATTTGTTATTTCGTCAACTCGATTAATTATTATCAACCAGCGACCCGCCCCGGCTTCGCATGGGTGCAATGTATTATACATATAAACTTCATCTTGAATCACTCTATCAAGTAAAAAAACCGCACCAAGATCCGTTGCGTAGTTTTAAAGATCTCAGATTATATCTGAGATTTAAGTATACATAGGGCAGACAGACAACGGGACGACTTTGTTTTATACTATGTAGTGATGTACTCGTAAGTTCTAGGTTGATGTTCTTACTATACATATCTATAATTATTGAAAACCACGCTGATAATCGGCCTGTATAAAAGGAACTCTACAAAATTTTAGAAAGGTGTCTTTGAAGCCGTACGTGTCTTACTAAATATCAAAAAGTGCGCATATGTATACAAGTGTAGTGGTAAGCAAGGCTCGGAGGCCTTATTTTGCCCCTTTTATAAAAGCGGCGGTTCTGCAAACAGAAATAGCGAAAGCGGTCACCGTTGCCAGAATTGAATTTCTGGCTTCCCTGAACCGTGACCACGGGGCGGCCGTAAAGGATGGTGACATGTACAAACTTCGCCCCTGACATACACGAAAACTCTGCAGCTTCGGCGATTGCCACAGCTTTGTTTCCGCAGCGAAAAGAGCATCAACGTCCTATGATAGCTCGACCCGTTGTGGAATAGACCTGCCTAAGCATGGATGTGTCTGAGGTGAACCGGGGCAGCCTTGATGCTTTTTTTTTATGTGAAAAGGTGCCGAACGAGCAGAAGGTTCACCTGATGGTAAGTGAATACCGCCGCCCATGGACATCTGCTACACCCGAGGGTTACAGATGCGTTGCCAACTTTTTGAAAATTGGGCTCCGGCTACCTCACTCACCAGACGAAACGCGAAAGTATTTGTCATACTTCCACTTTACGCTGGTCTTCTGTGAGGTCGTGGTACTTACCCGGACGGGCCTGCCCATTCGTGCAAGAGCCGAGGCTGCTGCGTGGTCCCACCACCGTAAAATGAATGCTACCGTCCTAAATATGAAATCACTATCCTGGGTCCCGACAGTATCCCGGGATGAATCTCAACCCTGTTCTGGAGGACGTCCTGAAGCCATGGCTAACGGCGATGGCCTCACTTTCAACACGTGTACGGGCCGACCCTTGCGGATTCCAAACAGCCTCTCCCCCTGATTAGGGCCCACACGCTCCATAACAAAATCAAAATAAAAAATATATTTATTCACATACGACTTTTGCGCGTTCTTATGAAATGTTTTTTACATAAAAATTAATACGTTCGTAAGTTACCACCGCTAATCGAACGTCACGAACTCTCTAACGTCTCGAGGTACCGGCTATTGTAGACGGCGAGAGGGCTTGGGACCCTGTCCACACATATTGTGAGGACAGTATCACCCGGAAGGAGGCCGAGGAGATGCAGAGACCCCACCCAGCCAACTTCCCTAGTGATAATGAGCCTCTGGGCACCAGGGATACTACAGGGGCACTGGTGGTATAAAATAGTGCTGTGCTACTTGCACCGAGCTGTCGGTTCACCCGATATTGATGTCCGCCGCCCATTGACATTTTCAACACCCGTAAGGTTGCGGATTGCCACCTTTTAATAAAGTGGGTCCCGGCTACCTGACTCACCGAACAATGAGCAGGAGTATAACACTTCCACTTCACGCCGATCTTCTGCGAGGTCGTGGTACTTACCCGGCCGGACCAGTCCATCGTGCAGCAGCGAAGACTGTTGCGTGGTGTCGCGGATGATGCGTCTTCGTTTACCCGCGTCTCCAGCCGATGTGACAACGTGCGCGTTTAGTGGATACCGGAACTCCCGCATACCTCAATAAAATGGGTTCCATGTGTTCTTTTTTTTCTTTTTTCATTTTTTATGAAAAACATTGCCCTCACTTTAGGATAATTTATTATCCTGTGTTGTAAGGACGTTTTTACATTGCACGAGGACAAACACCCAGATGCGAAACAACTATGTGTGGGTCGCACAAATAGCTGTCCCGTGTGGGAATCGAACCCACGACCCCAACGCCAAAGCCAATATCTTGACAACTGCGCCACGGAGTCATCAAGTTCTTACAGAAACAAATGTGATTTTATTTACAAACGTCAAGGAAATTATCTACTTTTTTAGCGAATCATTACTGGCGACTAGAAACGGTTTACAATAATGTTAAGCGTAGGAGATCATGAAGTAAAAAAGAGGCACCATATCGAACCACTTCAGATATTCGCCAAATGAGGGTTTTGTTAAATTAAATATATAGTACCTGGAGGACAGCTTTGCTCGGTTTAAATTTGGTACATCGTGTATTTTGGAAAAAAAAAAAAAAAATAAAGAAAGCAAAGATCTAGTATAGAAAAAGAAATAAAAAAGTGTTTAAGCGATCGTAACACTAATCACAGTCTTCTGTTTTGGGGCCGCCCGATTACCGACCGTTATAACATTTTTATGATAAAATTTTTTTTTCGGCGAAATTTACCATCATATTCGAATGATATTTTTCATTCCCTGAAAATAGGGGTAAAAGGTTTTCAAAAAAAATTTCCCCACCTCACTCACCAGACGAAACGCGAAAGTATTTTACTTCCACTTTACGCCGGTCTTCTGTGAGGTCGTGGTGCATACCCGGACGAGCCTGACCCTTCGTGCAACAGCCGAGGCTGCTGCGTGGCCCTACCACCGTGACATACACATAATGCGTGTAAATGTGTTGCTGTGATTGGATGTTATTAAAAATTGTAGACTATGCCTATGTACTAACGCCTATAACAGGCACTTTAAAGTGTAATTATATTATTTATTTGTGCTTACATCATCGTAATTTCAACTAAGGTTGATCTAGTATATTAAATTAAAAGCGAGCGGATTCTGTGCTATCGTGAGATATTTATGAATACCGCTCTGGACATAGTTTAAAAACGAGATAGTTTCTAATAGAAACGTTAAAGCTAAATTTATTTATATCCTGGATTACATGTATTGTAAAAAATATTAGTATATTTAATGATGATGTCGGTTTCAAACTACTAAAAATAAAAAAAACAACATTAACATGGGCTGTTTCATGTTTCATATCAGTTTCTTACAGCAAAATGATCATACATAGTAGTAAGGCAATTATTTTCTCCCTTTTAAGATTAAGCTCTTTATTTTCCCAAATTGATCGCGGATACCCGGACTAACAGTGACCTTCTTATAGAGCGCCTTTAGATACATTTTTGACCTTCGAAAATATGATAAATGGCTAAAATACATACATAGATTGTTAGTAAGGCAATTATATACTTATAGGTTCAATATCTCCTATAACTAGGGCTGCCAAATACCAGTTTCTTCAGTAATTCTTTCACTTTCACTGTTCAGGCTACACTCCTCTGGAACTCCTTGCCTTTTGAGAAAATTAAGCCCCTAATAGTATTTTTGGTCATTTACTTCAAATGGAGAAAACTATCGTTTGTAAAGTATATATATAAGAATGTATGTTATGTATAAAAATAAATATTATGTATTTCAAAATTTTATATTTAATATATAATTATTATTATAAATATTTTTAATGTAATAATTGCCCTTGAAGACTGGGAGAGATATTTTTTGTAATAAAGGTTGCACATACAGAAAAAAAAAATATATACTTATAGGTTCAATATCTCCTATAACTAGGGCTGCCAATGCTATACTTAAATTTACATTTCAAATCTTTACATTCCCAATTTAAATTTAAATAAAAAGTAACTTTTTATTAAATTTGAAAATCTGGGAAAACACATAGTAGCACACACACACAGATCCCATAAAGATTCTGGGTTAAAAAAAATCAAATGATAAGAGATATTCACAAATTGTCATAATTAACAGCAAAAGCATCTGAGCAGTTGAAACATTCTGTTTCTATTCTCAACAAACATTCTCCGAAAACATTCTCTGAAATATCGATAAAAGTTCAGTAATTATCAATACAGGTATATACATTGTGTTTTATTATGCATCACACAAAACATTGAAAATAGAGTATTTTCACATACTTTATTTTTATGCAAAAATATAAAGTATATTTACTTAAAAAGTATGGTTGGCAACCCTAATTACAACATTCCAAGTTACAGTTATCTGTATCAGCAATTTATCCTTATGCTGAATGAATAAAATTCTAAACAACTTAATTTATTTTTAGAATGACAAAAAAAACGGAGGTAGTTTTTGTCTTCAATGGGCTATATAAAATTTCGATTGACATTGAATATTCTCAAATTCACAGTGATCGTGGGCAGCGGTGATCCCTTTCCTTAAGGACCCCTTTTACCGGAGGATTTTTATTTAAAAATAAAATTAAGGTGTTTTACTTCCACTTTACTTCTGTATCTATGTAGATTGAAAAACATTTACAGACAATTTACACATAGTGTAAAACCATTATTACGTAAATTAAACATAAGTTAACTAATAATGTAAACAATTGTTTAAGGTATAAAGGCATCTAATGGCCATAATCTTTGTTGGTCGATTGCTAAAAGAAAGCAAAATATTTTGGAATGAGCAATCTTTAAATGCTACTACAATTTATATGGACAATGACAATAATAAACAAAAAAATATAAAACTGGGTACTGCATAAAATATCATCAACATATTGCCAATGTCATACTTTTAGTCCAATATAATTACAGTATCAAGTTGAAATACACAGAAATCCTTTATATTAAAGGTTCTATCTTACATATAATTTAACCATATTTTCTTAAGATTGAAGTAAATATAACGAGAGGGATACTAAACAAATAACACAATGTGGCAAACTAACAGGCAAACTTATAACATAAAGTATCCAGACATAATTATGTACCTAGTTGGCAATTGTACCAATAGGTTAACATATCACTTACGACTATGCTTCCTAGATTTATCTTCCTGTCGACTATCATTAACGACGTTATAGTGGGCATAAACATGGGCATTCCACTTCTTTTCTCTGTTAAATTTCTCACCACAAATGTTACATACATACTTGTCCTGCTCCTTATCTTTGCTCTTGCCCATTTCTTTTTTTGCAAGTATTGTCGAAGTGCTAATTTGTGATTCTTGGATTATGTTGTCTGTTGGCAGCACATATGATGGCTGCAGCAATGGATCAACATTGATAAACGAAAAGAAACCAGGGTCCTTAGGTGGTGCCGTGTCCTCCAAAATTACGGAGAAGGGCTCTTGGGGATTGGTATCATTTTTAGGCGCTGGTCTTGCTCTCTTCGGCCTTTTTTTAGCAACTTCTTCATTGGGATGCTGGTGTTTTGTTGATATTAGCAGTTTATTCGGATTGCTGGTTTGCACCACCGTGTACGATTGTTTCTTCATCGCGGGTGTAGTGAACGGTACTTGTTGACTCTCGTTATTTGTTGAGTGATGGGGCACTGTCTGAAACAATCCAACCGGGTATGGCTGACCGGCAGTAGAGGACTCCGGTTCGGAGTTCGGGTCGTTCGAATCGTTTCGTGCTGCCGCTGTTCTGTTGGCAGCACTAGTTCTCTTAGAACTGTTACTGGCGCTTTTTAACCGGTTATCAACGGGAGACTCTGCCAGATCTATTATTTCAACAGAGTCGTTTTTTTTAGTATTGTTAACGGCAGCTTCTTGATCGGTGTCGCTTCGTTCGTCCGACGAGGTTTTGTCTTCAACTAAAGTGTAACTGTTGTTTGGACCACGAATTAGTTTATACCTAATATTGAGGTCAGGAAGTGAGGGAAAACGATAAACCGGTCCTTTTTCGGTACATGACTTCTTGAAATTGTTTGGTGGAATCAGAGAATCTTTAGATGTCTGGTGATTTTCATTACTGATATTTGAAGACTCAATACTTCTCCCAATCTTGCTAGCAGGGCCGATTTTTCTTTTAACACTTGATGCATTCAATTTGGCACTGTCATTTTCCTGAGTTTTTTGTTCAACTGTACCTGGCCTGTCATCTCCACTTGTTCTCGTGTTTATATATTTCACTGTCGTGAGCTTTGGCGGCTCAGGTGGTACGTACATGTTACATAAATCTATTTTAGGCACCCCAGTTTTCGCACAGCCATGTGACATAACAACTTCCTTTTTCAAGAAGTTTCTATTGCACAACTGACACTGGAAGAGGATCCCGACGCCATTTACTTTTATCATGCTAACATGGTCCATTATGTTGAATGGTTTTTTTATAGTATCGTTAGTTTCGTTAGTTGATTCACATGTATCTTTTTTGTTTGAATTATTTGGTTTTATTGTAGAATTTTCATCCAATTTGTTCTTTTCACAACTTGTGGCTTCTGATGCAGGGTTTATGGAAATACTTTGCTGTTTGATTGCACTCCTAGTCAGTGGTATCTGGATATTATTTTGTACAGAATGACATTCATCTTCAGCAGTTTCATTGTTACTATTCCTTGACGACCGGTTGTTGTTACTGTGTTTACTGCTTCCACCACATTTATTGCCTTTGATTTCTTTTAATGTTATATCATCATCATCTTCCTTGTTTCCAAGTTTTTGTGAATTTTCAGATTCAGACTTGGAGTTGACAGACTTTGATGCTCTAGTCGAAATTCGGTTTTCTGCAGATGGAGCCAGTTTAGGTATGTCTTTAATGCCCTCCATAGCTTTTTTTATTAGTGCATCACAGATGTCATCATTGGACATGTTTGACTGATTCAGTTTCTCCTCCCAGAGTGCTCTTGTTTTCGTTTTAATGGAAAGCGGTTCACTTTTACCAAGTAACTTTCGCAAATTTTCTTGTGTCCGTATACATCTCTGCACAAATTCATGTAGCTCCTCCACCTTTGCTGAACAGCGGAAACATATTTTGTGTGGAAGGTCATCATTCTCTGCAATCTAGAATTGATAAAGTTAAACATTGTTGAATTTCTTTGTAATAATATTTCATTTATTGATATTTTGGGCCTCAAAACATGATACTACTGATTTAATACATGTTTAACATATTCCATACACAGTGTGGATACAGATGTAAAATCATGTTCAGATGTCATAGTTTTCAAAATATATTTTATTCTATGGGTAGTTTTCAATAATATGGGATCTTTATTTCATTTACTTTAAGAAATATTAGAGAAATAAAAATGTTGGAGAGTATTAATCACTCTCAAAGATTTTTTTAATAATTATTACTAAACACTTTCATACACATGAATTCCATAAAACAAAACATTGATAAATGAAATGATAATGTGATTTTTTTAATCCCTTAATAAAATAAATTCAAATATACAGTGTGTCGTTACAACCGCGTGAATTAATGGAGACACATCTAACGCTACTTCCCAATAATCATAAAAAAATATAAAATGTTAAAAAATCCATAATTAAAAAAATATATTTTTCTAACAAACTAATTAAATAAAAAAGAAACAAATTTGTAACATCACAACTGACTCATTCATACATTCAGAGACTTTTTCATTTGTTGCCAAAATGTCGCATTACAAGTCTTTCCTTCTAACAGTATGTTTTATCTCTTTTAAATTCATTAAACCCATTGCAACACACCATGACCTTTACAAATGAACTTTACGTTACAGGTTTATACATAAGGGTGTTCTAAAAATGTTTGTTTTGTAAAATTTAATAACTCTGTAAATATTGATGTTTAAAGAATGTAAATGCTTAATACAATTTTAAAAAGTTATCCTCTATATGTGTTCATTTATTGTTGCAGTTGTAGCGACACGCTGTATATTGTAGAATGCATAAATACTAATTAGGAATATATACTAAATACTATAAAAGAAATAATCGAAATTAATTACTTATTATTCAATTCCCAAAACAAATTGTGCTTTTATGGAGTTAATCCATATTATAGAGAAAGTTGTTATAAATAAAAAAAAGGTTATGACTATCCTGAGTACTTAGATACTCAAATTTAAAATATTCCAAAAGTAGAGTTAATAGATTTGTGCAATGAAACAACTCAATTATGGCCTTTCTTTCTTTCTAAAAAAATGTCCGTCTTTCTTTCTGTTTGCTTTTCTCAAATTAAATGAAAAAATCAAAGAAAACTAACCACCTAGAAACATAGAATTGTTTGATCTCTTAACAAATAGAGGAATCAAAACAAAATAACTTATTGTCATCCCATTCTCAATTGAATTTTAAATGTTCAAATATTTTTTTAATAAAAAAACCAAATTTATGACAAATAATAAGATGTGTCAAAGGACAAAGCATGAATACGGAAATTAAAAAATTTAAACGTTAAAATTAATCAATACGAAATGATTAAAAACATTATATAAACGTATTACATAAAGAATAAGCAAATATGGTTCAAAAAAATTGTCAGAAAACCGAAATATATAGTAATCTCACCCAAAAAGGCATTAAATCCTCTATTTTCTTAGCAGTGACTTTATCAGAGTCAAAAATGTTGAGAAACGGCCCTTCTTTAGACTCGCACAGTCTACACAATTTCAAGAATATTGTTTGATTTACTGAACTCAATGCGGCTGCAATCACTTCAGTATTAATCGTATTTGTAATAGACGACTTTACAACTCCAGACGCCTTTGATTTCTTGGCTTTACTTTTAGCATTCCTCTTCTTAGCCATTTTGATTGAAGTGTTCTTCTAAAACATGTTAACAGTTTTAAAGTCTATAAGTAGCCTTACAATAACAAAATTTAACATAGGTTCACATTAAAATGTTCACACGAAAATACAAGCTTTGATTACTTGAAAAATGTCATAAACATTTATGATAAATACAAAACAGTCTCCTTATCAACGAATATTTAAATTACATTCCTAAATCATTGGTAGAGTAGATGTGGGTAGTATTGGGTAGAAACTAGTAGGATAGGAACATTGTCGTCACTATTTCAAGTAGACGTACCTGGGTGGAATAGAGATGTTCCGTCGACATCGTGTCAACGATATGTCGATTTTAGAAAATCGATTAACTTTCGCTCTATCTTGTAGGAAATCGATGTTGAAGTCTTAGACACAGGGCATCATAGGAATAACGCTTGGATTTGAAGATAGTATCCGTCAAATAATGAATTGAACCAGTTCGCTTTAGAGAAATTATAAAGAAATAAAATATAAATAAAAATTTCTGGTCACAATGTATGTTTGCGATAAAATCCGAAACTACTGAACCAATTTTTATGAAATTTTGTAAGCACTTGTAGTTTGGTCCAACTTGGGAGATAGGGTAGTTTTTATCTCAATTATTGATCTCAATATTTGTGATTGCAAATTATTTGTGTATTAGATGACAAAGAGCTATCTGTGAGTCCCATATGATTATAACAAATGGCGGTGTAAGATAAATTTATCGTCTGGATTGAGTAAGTATCCGATAGATGGCGCTATGCTAAACTTAGAAACGTATAGACCCGGTAGAATTGGCGCAGACAAAGTTGCGCGAGCCAGCTAGTAAAATATAAATATTTGAAAGTGCTTCATCAATTAATACAAATGGGAATGAGATTTTTCTGGAGTGGATCAAAAATATAAGATACGGATGAACTTCAGACTAAGTGATAACCTGGAGCTAATTTTTTAAGAGTGCAAGAACTTGTTATCAATGGTTACAATGGAGCTTCGATTAACCGAACGTCGATAAACCGAACGACCGCTTATCAAAATCCGCTATTAAGACCTCTACCGACGCTACAGTGCTCGCGAACTTGTATCGACTTATAGGCTGTGTGTAAACTACTTAATACCATGTACCAAACTTTTTTCATTATCGAATGTAAACTACTTAATACAATCTTTGTAAAGAAATAGAGCGATTGAACATTGATATTCTTGGAGCATGCGACGTAAGATGGAAGCATCATAGAGAATATCGCATTGATCTATAATTTTAAGGATTATGCATAATTTTTTGTGACTTGTATAGGTAACGCGATTTGCATATCTATGTAGATGAAAACCCCATAAAAAAAAGATAATACAAATAAAAAACGATAAAAAAAATGTGTGTACTTACGTACGCACGTAAGAGGTTATAGTTTCTGGGCGTAACAAAAGAAAAACAAGTTGAATAATAAAATCAAAACATCGTTTCAAAAACTGACCTTGGCAAAACAGTGAACTCGAGTTTATATAGATATATATATATATATATATATATATATACTTATGCATAAAAATGTTCAAAAGTAGAGCAAAATTTTGCCGGGATCCGTTCTTAAAACTTTGACTTGAAAAATGAACCTCGTGGTCGTCCAGTTACTGACCGATTTTAGTCAACAATGAAAAATTAAAGGCGATTGGGGAAACTAATGGTACTCAATCTATAGCCGATCTAGCGGCAGCTTTTGATGTTAGCATCAAAACAATATTGGTCCAATTGCGACAAATTGGCAAGGTAAAAAGGCTTGATAGATGAGTGCCCCAAGAACGCGTCGAGACCTGCCTCGCGCTGCAACAGGCAGAAATGAAGAAATTTTGATTACGAATTATTACGTGCGACGAGAAATGGATTCTGTTTGACAAACGGAAGCGTTCAGTATGTAGGTTAGATGAATGCCCTAAAGGAAAAATTAGAAAGGTCCCGGTTTGGTGGTCTAGTGCCGGTGTGATTCATCATAGGTTTTAACGAAATGGCATGAACATTACTGCACATATTAAGTATGTACTGTGAAGAACTGAAAACAATGATGGAGATGCTCGCACATATGCAATCAGCTTTGGTCAATTGGTCATCCCCTCTGCTCGTTCACGACAGTGCGCGACCCCATACTGCACCGCAGTCTCCAAGCTGCAAGAGTTGGGTTTGGAAGCTCTCCCTCATCCGTAATATTCACCAGACCTTGCACCCGACTATTACTTTTACCAAAATATGGACAGTCTTTTAACGGAAAAATATCAATTCCGGAGAGGCAGTACAAAATGCCTTTGAAGAGTTTGTTGCTTCCCCTCCAACTGAATTTTACGAGAATGTTTGTTTTGTTTTTATGTGAAAAGTTGCCAAACGAGCAGGTTCACCTCATGTTAAGTGAATTCATACAAAACGGAAATTTCCTGCTAAGGTAAAGACCTAATCAAAATCAAAGTTAACTTAAGCTCTTATTGAACGTCAACAAAAAATCTACCATCGGTTCACTAAAGAAGACCTGCACAAAGAAGAACCAGCAAGAAACTCTGCGGTCTTGTTCTTTTTGTTATTATTTTTTTGATGCAATTATATAAACTTATTTTGTATAAAAACAGCAGCAGCCAGGGGTCTTGCAAGTGCAGAGCAAGAGTCATTTCCACACATCCTTGTCCTCAATGTATTCATGGACATTATAGTAGGCCCTTGCCATTATGGTAGCTTTTAGAAATTGTTTATACTTAGTTGTTTGTGGATGTCACCTATTTTATTATAGAAGTTGATGCATCTAATATAATTAAATTAAAACTACTTCATATACCCTCGCTCGCGGCAGACTGCCGATTGGGTTAATAATATTTTGTTTTCATTATCAAAACGAAATATAATTTAATCTGGCAATATTTTAACTGTTGGCAATAAATTTCTTTCGGCATGTCAGCCATCTTGAATTTAGTATTGTGCCAGTCGGGGGGGCGGTGACATATTTTACCCGTCATCGTCCTACATATTTTTTTGTGGATTTGGTAGAAGGAAAAAATAAGTGATTTAGAGTGTAAATAATTAGTTTATGTCAGGACTGAACGTAAAGATGGCGGGACAAACTATTAACGACAGGCTCTTAGCTGCTCGTCATAGCATCGCAGGGCAGGGACTGGCAAAATCAGTTTGTAAAGCCACTACTGAAGAAATGATCGCACCTAAAAAGAAACACTTGGACTGTAAGTATCGCTACTGTACTCACTGAAAATCTATATCAGCCTAAAAGAGTAATTTTTTTCACTTTCACCGTTTTCCGCGACGTTCGCCAAATCACTGATGTGGTCGATAATTCATCTTAAGGTATTGTAGTCGACATTGACCGCCTGATTTCGCAGCATGTTACGTGGTTTTATGCAATAAAACTTGTTTTTAAGATGTTTTTTTATTATGAAACACAATAATTTAGTCCCCGATCCCTATGCAATTTAAATTTAATACGCAATTTTGTATTATGTCATGTGAGTAGACTTCGTTTGCAACTGGTTTATGCATTTAATCAAGAAATAACCCATTTAATCTGATTTTATATAATGTTTACCTAACGCAAAATATCTGTAATGAGGATAATCAAAGGATGACATAACTATAGTTTATTGATTTATTATTCTGTTTAACATATTGCTGATTCACCCACAATGATTTAAAGATGTACAATAAAACATATTCTCCAAGTCAATTCAACATTCTAGTCATGTAAAAGTACCCACAGTTTTCTTTACAAACATTATTACATATTTCATTTGTATTGCAACAACTGGTATGCATATAAAAATGTGCAAATTGTACCATGTCATTTAATTTCTGCTATCTATGTGTGCTTTTATGGTTATACATAAAACATTGCATTGGGTGTGTAAATATACATTTTTTTTATGTAAAGGTCAATGATATTGAATCAAGCTTACAAGATTTATAAATCAAACCATAATTAAAATATTTATTAGGTAAACTATCAGCTATGTGTATTTATATTGTTAGCCTATGCCCAAAACTATGATTTAACTATGACCAATAGAAATGTCTTTATAGAATCTTAACAAAGGTATGAACTTATAACTTAAAGTATAATACAGTGATTAGTTGCATTAAAATTATCTGTTTTTATCCTTCATCATGTTTAGGTAACTTTCTTTTTGGATTATTCTGGGTAAGCTATATTTGGCCATTGATCTTATTATTTATACAGATAATATGATATATATAGATAATTATTACATATATTATATAGATAATATGATTTATTAAACCTTTAATGTGTGCCACAGACAGAATGTTCCTTAGGTTAAATGAAAATAAACATGAAGGCTTAATAAAAATAAGCAGATTTCAGTCTGTTTTCATTCTGTTATTTTCCCATAATTTTTTCAATTTAACTTATGAATGCATATGAAACTTGTATGAAGTGGAATTAATATAATTTCTAGTATCTTATAACTACATTTATCCATTCTCTTTCTTATGTCATTGGACTTACTATCAAATGATAAACAATGATATGAATTCTTATAGATAATTTTTATTTTGTGTGTACATATTATCTGATAATTATTTTAATATATATGATTCATTCCACATTTAAATTCACTAGTTTTGAAACTTAGTCATCTTTAATGTATTTTTTGATTATTGATTAATATAATAAAGCCGCTTTTATACAATGTAGTTTTGAATAAGAGACAAATTAAATTCATCAACAGTAATAAAATTTGGTGAATTGAAATGAATGAATGTGAATCTGGAGATTATATGAATAGATTGTCATTTGTGTGGAGTGTTATGATTCATTATTTGACACTCACAACTAAATTTATTTTGCTTAGTCACCTGGAAATGTTGGTTTTAACACCAATATTTCCAGCTGACTAATGCAAGAAAAATTTAAAGATTTCCTTCTGATACTTTTTTTTTGCCAATTATGTAAGTACTTCTTCATAGGTAGGAGTTGAAGGCACAATCATAAAATTTTTACCTTTAACACTTGACGATAATTTCAAACATTGAAACATTGCAATTTTATAATTTTATTTTTTTGTTTATAGTAGAATAATAATATAAAAATATAAATTTACAGTAACCCAAATTATAGCTAAAAACTATCTCGAACAGCTGTCAACAAAAAAAAAACAGCGCCATAATTGATCCTTTCATTTGGAAGCTAAGATGCCACAGACAGACATGTCATACTTATAATACCTATCTTTTTACATTGGGGGTTACAAATAGTCACAGATTAATTTGGCTGAACATTAGCAGTTCATTTGTTTAATAAATAAAACTAAACAAGTTTTGTATGTATTTGTTTAATTTAATCTCTTGTACCTAGTTGCATCGTAAGTTCTGTGACATAATGAAAACTATTGAATTTTTATTGCTGGCCACAAAAATATTCATTGAATTCGAATTTCAAATGTTTCATGATGGATGACATTTCAACTACCTACACTATCTGCATCACTTCCATCCATGTTCATAAGTTAATTGGTCCATTGCAAGGGCAGTTGGCCTAAACTCCAACCCAACTGTGGCCACACTAACTACACTATGGCTTTAGTGCCATCTCATAGGCTCGTGGCTGATAGGCTTAGTAGGCATTTGACTTGGTGAAGTCCATTGTTGCTGTAAACGAGGGGTGCTGACCCCCCAAGGTGGGCTGATGAGTCTATGCTATCTATGACAGACCCTAAACCAAAATCGGTTGCCTCACTCGCTATGTGAGATAAAATTTTAAATACTTATGGCCAAACTTTTGATTCTTTGGTTCTTCCTCAGACTAACCATAGCTGGAGCAATATCTGCCACATGGTACTAACTTAAACATTTGAACGGGCAAGCTATGGCACCTAAAATGGAACAATAAATGTTATGAGCAGTGATAGCTCAGCATCTGGGCGCTCGCCTCTAACTTAATATACTCCAGCAACCTGAGTTCAATCCCCAGTGCCGGCACCTATGAAATTGTTAATTTTAAGTGTTAACTTATCACGTGCTCAACGGTGAAGGGAAACATCGTGAAAAATATTTCCAAAATATGTGAAGTCCGCTCCGCCAATCCGCAGTGCGGCCCCCTGGTGGACTACGTAAAACCCTCTGTACAAATGAGGCCCAGCAGTGGGATATGTATAGGGTGTTACTTTACTTTTTTGCTTTACAAACTTTTACCTCTGTGAGGCCTTGGTACGTCGCCTGACTAGCCGCCAATTCTTACAACAGCAAAATATGCTGCATGCCTGCTGTAAACAAATTGTGCTGTCAGTATTTTCTTTTGTACCACCAGTTTCACCAATAAGCGACTCGGCAATTCGTGACTGGAATTTAGATACCATGACTTCACAGAAGACCGGCGTGAAGTGGAAATGTATATCCTTCTGCGTTTCGTCTGGTGAGTGAGGTGGAGAGGGCCCACTTTATCAAAAGGTAGCAATGCATCTGCAACCCTACGGGTGTTGCAGTTGTCAATGGGCGGCGGAATCATTTAACATTACGTCAACTGCTCGCTCGCTTACCACCATCTTTTCACATAAAAAAATCGTTTCATCCGCACTCTCTCTCTCTCTCTCTCTCTCCCGTGCATTTATTATTCCCACACGGTAGTGGGGTCTGCCTTTCCTGTCATTCGCTTCCACTTCGCTCTATCCATCGCATCGTCATGAGTCACATTGCAGGCGTTAAGATCTTTTCTCACTACCTCTGTCCATCTTATTTTTGGTCTTCCTCGTCTCCGGGTACCTCGGATGTCCAGATGGTACGCTTCTTTCCCGATGTAATCAGAAGGTCGACGTTGCACATGTCCATACATACCATCGCAGCCTACTTTCCTGGAGCTTGTCGGCGATGTCACGGACTCCGAGACTCCCTCGCACGTACTCGTTACGTATCTTGTCGAGTCTCGTCACTCCGCACATCCACCGTAGCATCTTTAGCTCTGCTACTTTTATGGTATGGACCTGGTTCCGTGTCACGGCCCACGTTTCGCTTCCATACATAAGAACTGGCCTGATCATGGTCTTATATACTAGCCCTTTAAGCTTGACAGGCATTTTTGGGTTACAGGTTACGCCAGTTACCTCCCTCCATTTAAGCCAGGCTGCATGAATTCGGTGCTGAATGTTTACGTCCACTTCCCCCGAACTGTGCAACATGGTGCCCAAATATTTATATTCGTCGCATCTGACGACTTGTTGGCCATCGATTGTAAGTGGGCCGCTTTCGACAGTATTTGGATCATTGCAAACCATGTATTGGGTCTTCGCAACTCTCATCACTAGGCCACCTGCTCTTAACTGCCGCTTCCACTCTTCTAGGGTTTTTACCAGTTCCTCACGTGATGTTGTGCATACCGCTACATCGTCAGCGTATATAAAAGTCCAGGAAGCAAGAGATTGAGCATGTTCCGTAAGTGCATCCATAACCAAGCAAAAGACGTAAGGGCTGAGCACAGAACCTTGGTGTACCCCTTCCGTAACAGCTATTGGCTTTGTATGCCCCACCGTAGTCCTTACTACTGATCGCACATTCTCATACATGTCGGCTATGATGACTACGTACCTTTCTGGAATGTTTTTCTTTCGAAGACTCCACCAAATAGTCTGCCATCGTTTCATGCGCACGGATTGAGAAATTGTTAGTTGAAGTTGGTTTTGTCTGATGCGGCGATTATGTTACCAAACGAAGTGGAAAACATTGAGGCGTTTTTTTTTTTTGGATCAATTAACTCCAGCCAGCTTGTTTATATTATAGACGTTGATTTCTTTCATGAATGTAATTTGCCGTGTCGGACGTTTTAATGATGAATTTTGATTTAAATTATACCATATCGTGCGGACTTCGAGGGACAGCTAAATATTTTGTATCTCGAATGAAACTAGTCGTGGTATTAGTTTCAAATCTTATAGTAAGTTAGGATCCTCTGATTTTTTTTTATTTAATAAATAAATCTTAAATATTTGTGGCATATCTTTAATTTGTTAGTGTTTATTGTTAGTTATATAGTTGTAAATTCATCACTTCATTTATTGATGAGCTAAGGAGCGAGTCGCGGGTTCGGTGGCCAAACAAAGCTGAAATTTTTGTGTGAAAAGTTCTTTAGGCGCGTTATCATCACCAAACGCTATACGTGTCCTATACGTAGACTGTATACATGTGTATTTATGTGTTCTTTTTGGGTGAACAAAAATAATGG